TCATTGTTGAGTTGTTGCACAATCCCTTTCAACCGCTTCAGCCCTCAGCCGATCGATACTAAGGAGCCGCTTGTCAGTGGTTACGCGATCGCCTGGACGGAGAGACCAATCACAGCGATGTTCACGCCTTGCTTCCGGTACCGCCCCTTATATAAGATCCGCCTCCGCCTGTATGGGTCATTGTTGAGTGTCTGAATGAACTGAGCGGCCGAGTCGAGTCTCCTCCAAAGCACAGCGTTACTGTCACACTGCGTAGGGTACCCGACAAGAGGCAAGGACGCAGACGGACCAGCAAGCGAGTTGAAGCGAGTACCGCAGTGATTTCGAGTCAAGTTGAACAAAATGCGTTATGGTACGTCCTACATCAAACAGCACGCGCTGCATGCAACTCGTCCGCGTATACTCAGATGAAGTCACCACTTGAATTCTAGCACGAAAATTACGTGTATTGCTTCCAATACAAGCACCTATGATTAACACTCACTTTGAAACAATCAAAGTTCGATGTTAGTACCAATAGAGGTGCTAATGTGGAATTCTTCCCAAAGAAAGATGTACCGTTTAAACGTACCTAAGATAAGGTTCTCCTGTGTATTCTTCTTGGTATGGGAAAGAGTTGTATGTGCTGCCGATTCGCGTCGCTTTTCTGGAGAACGCTCCTGCAATATTATTCACAAGGCTCAAAATCTTGACATTGGACAGAGATAAGTGTGATGAAATGAGCTCCACATAGCCGTGGGCCTGTGGATTTTGTTGATCGCTATATGCCAGACATTCAGATTCCCTTTAATTCACCTCATCTTAAATTATTCTTTCACACACGGCAGGCTTGAATGCTTCCTCCGTAAGAGATTTAAGTCTCGACGTTTATAATTTTAGCGAACATATGCATTGATCAAAACCGTTAGAAATGAAATGAGTGCACTTCATATTCCGCACCTGGTGACTCGCGAACGCGCGCGTGCGCGTCAGCGCAAAAATGGATGTTTATCCGCTAAAAAGCTTGATGAAGGTTCAACAAAGAAGATTAAAAATGCTACAAGCGGTTATGGTGAAACGGGAGACCACTTCTCCTCCTGAAGACGGTCACCAGAGTTTCGCGATCGATTAAGCCCAAGATGAGGCTCAGGCCTTTGCTTAGTTTTAGGCTTATGCCCAAGCCTTTGGTCTGACTCTGACTTAGTCCTAGGCTTATTACCAGTGAGTCGGAGTTCTCTTTTCTGAGGTGACCTGCGCTCAGAAGGAGAAGTGCAACGCGCCTCGGTGAAACAGAGTGGCGGTGCCGGTTGGTTGGCGGAAAGAGTTACGGTACAGGTTGAAGTTGGAGGTTGCGGTTGCATGCCAATGAATTTGTCGTTGCTCTAACCAACAAAGCTAGTCAAATCGGAATCTTGCAATGCCGATAAGCTGACAGAGACTAGAGAATTCAACTACCTTAGGAAAGCTGGTCAGCCCCAAATATCAGATATTATCAGATATGGGCCAAATTCCACTTACCTACATCCCTTTCTGCACTACTGGTACGGCTCAGGTTTTAGTGTTGAGCCCCGGTGATTTACCTACTATGCGTGTTTTCCGCTTTTGATAAACATTCAATTCTTACCTTTACTGGTTTGGGAATGCTCCAAAGAGTTGATCAACTTGTGTAGATCGCCATTCACTCCGTTTGTTGATTCGCTACCCTTGAAAGTTCTCCGAATGCAAATACTTCATGAATCTTGAAGATTTAAATGGGAGTGAGTTTCAAGAAACGTACCACGCCGGATGTCGCTCGATCTGAGAATATTGGTTTCGTTTTCGAGCGGATCCGCGCAATCGCTGGGAAATGTGGTGTGAGTGAGCCTTGATTGTAGGCAACGAAAGGACGAGGCGAATCTGAACGAGAATCTGAGTGGTTGACTAGCCTGGAAGTACCTCAAACCTTCGTAATATTCAGTGAAATTTCGGCTGATCTCCCCTACAGAGCTTTGGGACGCTCTAGGTGCATGTATAGGGGGTTTGCAATAGAGAAAGACATTTTGTCCCCGCATCAAGTGGGTTCAACCGTACTTCACTTGATTCAAACCAAATGCTTCCAATTGAGGATTTGAGAGCACAATCTATCTCATAAATAACTTTATGGTAGCCTTCTACGTGGACGGCACCAGAAATATTTGCCTCGAAGCATGGGGCACTGGTCGAGTTCGATGGCGTCTCGACGGATCGCGCACATCACGAGTTCTGAGAAGCGGGTTTTGAGAGGGTTTGCAGAGCTAAAGCTGATGTACGAAAGTATTCAACACTGAATTGATTCGAGAAATTATGTAAGAGCTCCAAGCTGAACAGTTAGGGAAGCTCTCCTTGAGCTTGACGATCATGGCAGATAACGGCATATTTCAAAGACGGTAAGGGCAGTGAAGAGGGCTTGCTTCTACCAATAAAGGGACATTAGAGGTATGTTTTGCTAAAGAATTTCCTCCAACTACAAAATCTCTGCGCCGAAAGAAACACTGAAATGCGACATGGACAGTTGCGTGAGGTCCAGTGTCATGAGATTCGCTTCTCATCCCTCAATAGTTAGAAGCAGAGTTCAAGAAAGCTTGCAATGACTCTCAACGGACAAATCTCAGCTCATTACCTCGACTCATTTTTATGATATTCACGACGATATCGTTGACGGGGGTCGCTTTTGAGGTGGTATCTGTGGCATTTTTCTGGCAGTAGGCAATAGTCAGCCATGCAAGCAGCACGGGCACACGCATATGATTCCTGAAACAATTCGAAACTCGGAAATTCAGATCAAAAGTCCAGTTTCGCGATCTCCGTAGGGTTTGGATTCTACACGAGATAAGCCATGCACACGTTCTCAGGTATGATACCATGGTTACCTTTGATAGGTTGGATAATTGGTCGATTATTCTGAGAACTCTAGTGAATAAGCTTTTCTGAAGAAAATTTCACACTACAAAAAGAAAAAGTGTAATAAAACATTAAAATTTCGAGGCTGTACAATCTACACGTAATTGTACTTAACATTCCTGATTCGCATGGAATAACCTTTGAGTACTACTCTGCGCACGAAAATTGATCAAACACGGAACATAAGGGACACTTGATAAAGGTAGCAATAGACGTTTGAGGAAACACATGTGAAAATCGAGAAAGCAAAATTATGCCCAAAAAATTGTTCCAGATTGAGGGAAGGTCGTGGTATGGACTGGTGCGGTTGAATTGTCGGCGCCTTTGTCTTCGGCAACGAGAGGTGTCAAGCCGTGCAAATATTATACGTTTTATTGGTGTCACTCGGTTAGTTGACATCTAGTGGTCCTTGAAATAGACGTAGTCCAACCAGCACCTGAACTGAAGTCAATCTTTGAAGTTGTTCATTTCAAAGCAGCACCTTTTCTGCTCTACAACGCCTACAGTCTGCGGCTTTTTAACTAAACAATTGATTTTACCCACAAAACATAGGATTTTTCGGCCCACACAAGAAGGAGTAGCTTTTCACTCACGTGTGGCTAACTAGCACGCTTAGTTGTTCCTGAAGAGGTGCACAATTTGCAAATATGTGGTGAAGAGACTGCTGAAGGCTAGAGCAATTGAAAATTTCTCTATTCAGATGTGAAGTGTGGTGTTGATTCACAACGAAGGCTCAGAAAAAGGCCTATGTTTTTCGGGTGGAAGTACTTATTTTGAAATTTATTACGGTAGTGTAATTAGGAGACCACTGTGGCGCGCAGCAGGTCTGACACCCAATTATAAGGTCATGGAAAATGTAGAAATGGTCACATAAATAGCGTCATTGAGCAAACCTCATGGCTTCTGCTGTTGCATTAGCATGAGCATGTACTCAAACTCCAACTACAATACTTCACCTCAGGATTCATTCATCCGAGCATTCACAGTAGGCTATGCTACTAGCAATTCCCTAGGCGTCGACCTTTCAACCTCCTGCTCAAGGAATCTATCTGAATTCTGCTTTAACTTTGATGAACGCTA